AATGAAAAAAAAAGATACATTGCTCTGGTAGCTATTTTCAAAGAAATAGAAATTACTGTGATGCACCATCTGGTCAAAACCTATCCTTTCATCCCCCTAACATCCCGGTCCCAACTGTTAGTACCTAGCCTTCCATTCCCACCCCCCATCACAACTGAAGTTTTTTGGATGAGAAATGAAATGTTTTGTTCCTCAAGGAAAGAAACAGTCCGGTTGCCTTTTGAAAAAGCACCTTTGAGACAACTACGACTTGGATGACTGAGAATCTCCACAGACATCTTTCCTCAGAGTGTTAAGCTAACTGCTTGCAAAGGGCCTCTAAAATTATGTGAACAACCAGTCTGAACGTCCCCTGCTTTCTATACTCTGATCCTTAGCACAGTGTCTTCTTCTCTGTCTTGTAAGGGTTATCCATATCCCAGCCAGAGCAATTTCTGGCTCTGCTTCCAGAAACTCTTTGGAACATCTTGCCTCCTGAGGTAAAATTGCCTCCCATCTTTCTATCCTTCTGCAGGGGCCTGAAGACCTGGCTCTGCCAGATGGCTGGGGGCCTTAATGGAGGACCATCACACTGGAGATGGTTATTGGATTAAGAGGCAATCCCACCCCTGCATCGTCTTCCCTGCCTCCACTTTATTTTAACTATGTTTTATCTTGATTGGGATTTCTATTTCTATTCTTTTAAGGTATTTGTTAGGATTTTACTGTTTTAATTCTGGAAGTCACCCATAGTCATTTTGCTATGAGATGGGTGAGGAGGCAAATAAAATCAAATCTATATAAATAAAAATGTAAATGTTCGTTTGTTCAAAATCTTAAATCTCCGAAAGTTCTTCACTGATTGCTTTGAAATTTTGACACAACGTTGCATATACCTATATTATATAGATGTCACACCTGTGACAGGTAAAAACATATTTTGTTTGAAAAACAGCACCATCTGTTGGACGTAAAAGCAACACATGCTACGATTTTACGATTCCATTTCAATGTTTCCGATTGCATTGTTAAATTGAATTTTCATAGATTTCAATTTATTTTCATTTTGATTTTATTATTTCGTGTGACATTGTGTTGGAATTGATGCACAGACAACAAAAAATATTGTATACCCACAAGCATTATGAAATTAAACATATTAGAAACATGCACTTTCTCTTTTCTTTCTTTTCCATTTAACCAGACTGAGCCACAGCAACGCGTGGCCGGGTACAGCTAATAATAAAATAAAATAACTGACCCTAAATTCTTAAGATATAAAGAATATGCTCCATCATGGCCTAGCAGCACAGGGATTCCTCTAATATTTCAAATTAGTATGAGTTGTTTCTATAAACAACCTAGACCAGGGGTAGGCAACCTTGGCTCTTTTATGACTCGTGGACTTCAACTCCCAGAATTCCTGAGCCAGCATGGCTCAGCTTGGAAACCTCTCCCTTTCCCCTCAGCATGGCTGGCTCAGGAATTCTGGGAGTTGAAGTCCACGAGTCATAAAAGAACCAAGGTTGCCTACCCCTGACCTAGACTTTAAAACCCAGCACCCTTTGGGTCTCTAACGAGTGGTTTTTGAGTAGGAGGAGTCATACAACTTGTGTCTTACCAAGCAAAACCCTCTCTTGAAAAGACTTATGCTTACCGGTAGAGTGTTGGCTTGCTGTGCAATACATGAGGATGCACATGCTGTTCAAAAAGACTATACATGAGGACTGGAAGGGATGTGAAACAAATGTTGTACAAAGTTAGGTACACGCTGTCATACAGAGTCTGAAAGGTGAGAAAGGGGGAGAATTGTTTTAAAACCCGTATACAGAGAATTCAACAAAAAAACAACAACCAGATCTAAATGTCTGTTTTATTATGGTAACATTAACGAAGGAATGCAATAAAAGCCAGTTTCTGTGACTTGAAGCTGTACAACTATAAAGAATTATTCCAAACTCCTTCCATACCGTACTTACATTTCTTTTTCTCCCTCTCAAACACAAATGGTCTTAACATTCTTTTTTTTAAAAAAAAAATATATCAGTGTGTAGAGAAGTCTTGCAAGAACAGGAAATGTTGTGTTTAATTCTAGCTAAGTATGGGTTAACAGAGGTTCTTTGGTGCAACATCCAAAAAGGTATACAAAAGAACATCAACTTGGAAAATGCTCTCTCTCTCTGTGTGTGTGTGTATGTATCAGGGAGAAGAGACTTTAACATTGGGCAAGGCTACCATAATAGTCACTTTATGTCTGTATTTCTCAACCTGGGCAACTTTTAAGGTGTGGGGACTTCCATTCCCAGCACTGCTGGCTGAGGAATGCTGGGAACTGAAGTCCCTACATCTTAAAGCTGCCCAGACTGAGAAATGCTACATTAGATGATAAATGCTGAGTGGTCAAGAAAAGGTCTGTGTTTTTTTTCTTTCTTATTGAAGCAGGAAGTGGTTTGTCACCAAATTCAATGCAGACCATCCCACGATCCATGTAGAAGAAAAATAAGAACTGAAGCAGCTTGGAAGGAAAGGCAGGAAGGTGGGGTGGGTATTTGCTATCATCTTATTCTTCACTTGAGACAGAAACTGCTTCTGCTTGAGTGTCGCCAAGCTTCTTTTCAGTCAGCCCACTTTTAAATTTCATATTATTGTCTGTTTAGAATAATACTTAAAATACTGAATTTGGAGGTAGGAAAATCAGCCTGCGATAGGACTCAATCACTAATCATTCTTAAATGGGGCCAATCAGGATTACCAATAGTCTTTATTAGGTTTTATTTACTCTTACTATATATATATAGTAAGAGCAATTAATTTCAGAAATACAAGAAAGGACAAACATTACTGGCTATGGATAATCTGAGTTATAATACAGCACATCTTAAATTTAAATCTTAAATTTAAACTGGTATACATTTAAATATATCTAGCTATAACTGTCACTTGTCTCCTAGATATAAAATGAAACCCATTTTTAAAAGTGCTTTTGGCTTTATAACATAGAAAAAAATTAGCAACTAATCAGCATTATCCAAAGGTAAATATTACTTTGACTAAATTCTTATTCCACATGGAACTCTTTAACACAACTTTCAATTTTTAGCTTTATGACTTCCTAACAATAAAATGCTTCCCCACAAGAAATGGGATTGCTCTTAGATCCATTTTTGCAGACAGAATAGGGATGGAGAAACAGATGCTAATGAAACACCATCTAGCTCAGGTCTGTCAAACTGCTGGCCTGCAGGCTGGATGCGTCATGCCAAAACTGTGCCCACCCCATTGCTGGCAATGGGGAAAAAGTTGCCATACATTGCACGACGTCGCAAGTTTGACATGTTTGATCTAGCTGTTAGTAATAGGTATTCAATTTTAGCTTTGATGTAGTGCTGACTTTCTTGGTGGCTGCCTAAAAATCCGACTGTGAAGACAGAAAGAGGAGTAGAATTAAAAAAAACCAGTTGACTACTCACTTGTTGTGAAAATAAACAGAAGAATTGATATAAAAACTGCGGCGTAATAAAACACACATTCTGGAAAACAAAATGTGATGCAACCAGTTAAGAGACATAAAACACCAAATTCTGTCATACCCATTCAAACATATCTTGAATATCAGAAAAAGTAAAGAAGTAAAACAGGGGTCTTCAAACTTGCCCCTTTTATGACTTGTGGACTATAACTCCCAGAATTCCTCAGCCAGGCACGTGTGCCTGGCTGAGGAATTCTGGGAGTTGAAGTCCACAAGTCATAAAAGGGCCAAGTTTGAAGACCCCTGAAGTAAAACAATCCTGTCTACTGAGACTCATCTTCCAGATGGATAATGGTATCACTGACTGGAATTAAACTCTTTGAAGGAAGCAGTGGAGAGAAAATTCTCCCACAAGGCACCTCAGCTTCCATCACTGTCACAACCAATGAAGCAGTCTTCACTAATACCATCACCCTAATCCACTTCAGACTTAGAAGCTCTGTGACTCCTTGCTTGAAATGGAAATCATGTCCTTTTTTTCCCCCTGACACCTTGCCAGACTGCTCTCATTTCACTTTGCCTTTAAACTACAATCTGGATGACGTGCACATCAAAAGAGATCACAACCTGTTTATAATCTAGACTCTGCAACCATGATTAAAAGTTGGTTTACAAGAAAATAGTTTTACTGCAGATGTGTTTGGCTTGGAAGAAATGAGCAGCAAGTTAGTGGAAGGCGATGGAAGCTCCTACTGAACATTATCAAGGAAAAACTTTACAGGTAGTCCTTGAGTTACAGCCATTCGTGTAGCAACCGTTCAAAGTTACAATGGCATTAAAAAGTGGTATATGACTGGACCTCATACTTATGACCATTGCAGCATCCCCATGATCATGTGATTAAAATCCAGGTGCTTGGCAACCAGCATTTAGGATGGTTGCAGCATCTCAGTGTCATATGAGGGCCAGTTGGAATCTTCCCACAGTTTCTGACAAGCAAACTCAGCAGGGGAAGCTAGATGTGCCTAATGACCAGAAGCTTCACTTAACAACTGCAGTGATTCGTTTAGCAGCCATGGCAAAAAAAGGTTGCAAAACTGGGCACAACTCACTTAACAACTGCCTTGCCTAGCAATGGAAATTCTAGTCACAGTTGTAGTCAAAAGCTGAGGACTATGCGTCTACATTCAAAGGTTGTTTTTCCTAGAGACCAAGTCTCCATGTTCATAGTTCGCTTTAAAAAGTACTTTGTAGAATGCTATATCTCTAGAACAATGAGGAAAGATGGGGGGAAATGTTAAGATACAGAACTCCACCTGGATTCTTTTGTTTGTGTCACCTACATTCAATACAATTAAGGGAATCAGGAAAATGAATAGGATGGAGACATTTGTGCATGCATTTCTGCATAAGCAGACACACAGAACCTGTGGGCTACCCATAATGTCTTAGTGTGGTTAATATGCTGTCATTGTTAATGCTGGGGCTTGAAATAAAATTTGGGGAAATGCTAGTGTCAACAATGAGATAGAAGTAGATTCAGTTTCTACAATACCTCTTTTTTAATATCACACTTCTAAACATTAGAAGAAAGAAAAAAGAAAAAGTTCTGAGCTAAAAGAATCCCCAATTATAGGCTACAGACACTTACCTTGTAAAAAAAGTACTGTACAAGGGTTGCTATCCTAACATAATAAAGGTGGCCATGGACAAAAAGTAACTTGGAGAGGAATTTAAATCTTGCTATTGCATAGTCACTGTTTCTTACAGCTTGTCTGCCTTCTTTGCCCATGATACCTGCAATTTGGATAAGCAAAAATAACAAAAATAACTTTGTCTTTCTAAGTGACACATGTAAGTCAAAGTGAAACAACATATGCAACAATAACAGAAGATTCAGCCTTTTAGTATGCTGTTTGGAGATTTAAAGGAGACCTGAGCAGATACCTTTTATTCCACAACTAAAAAAAGATTGTAAACATGCGTAAATATTTTCTATTGCCGAACTACATAACCAATCTCTTTTTTCACGGAAGGGCTCAGAAACATTTATTTTTTTTATTTATTTATTTTTAACATTTATACCCCGCCCTTCTCCCGAGGGACTCAGGGCGGCTTACAGGTAAATAAAAACAATACAACACAATAAATATCTCTAAAAGCCAAATTAAAATATATATTAAGTAACCTGTATTAAATTTAATATTATAAAATCCCTTTAAAATCCCCCCCTAGGCCAATCCCGCTTGATGGAAAAGCCATGTCTTGAGGGCACGGCGGAAGGAGGGGAGATCCGGAATAATCCGGATCTCTGGGGGGAGTTCGTTCCACAGGGTGGGGGCTCCCACAGAGAAGGCCCTCCCCCTGGGGGTCGCCAGCCGACACTGTTTGGCCGACGGCACCCTGAGGAGGCCCGCTCTGTGGGAGCGTACCGGTCGATGGGTGGCAATCTGCGGCAGAAGACGGTCTCGAAGATACCCAGGTCCGATGCCATGGAGCGCTTTAAACGTGGTAACCAACACCTTGAAGCGCACCTGGAAGGCCACCGGCAGCGAGTGCAGCTCACGCAAAAGCGGTGTTATATGGGAGCGACGAGTCCCTCCCAACACCGCCCGCGCGGCCGCATTCTGGACTAGCTGGAGCCTCCGGATGCTCCTCAAGGGGAGCCCCATGTAGAGAGCATTGCAGTAGTCGAGGCGGGAGGTGACGAGAGCATACTTCTACCAATAGCCATCCTCACCATCTACTATCCTGCTCCAGATTAGTGGTTCTCAAACATTTTGGTCTCAGAACCAATTTTCTTTATTAAAAATGACTGAGAGTCACAGAGAGCTTTGGTTTATGTGGATTATGTCTATCAGTATGTACCGATTTTATATTAGAAATTAAAACTGAGAAATGTCAGCATATATACTTGATTTTGCAGACACTTGAAAGGATCTCGGGGACCCCATACTACATTTTCTCTGCTCTAGAGAAAGCTGCTTGGAAGCAATGACAAGCCACCAATTCCCACAGAAAAAATAACAATTATTCCTACTTTCTTTACTAACTTAGGTTCCTTCAAATAGGCTATTAGTATATACTTAGCCAGCCTTAACACTCACAGCATATTTGGAGGACATCAAGTTGCAGAATGTGTGGTGTTATTAATTTATTTACTTACTTGGCTTATAATTCTAATGAATCTGAAAAGATTTTGAGTGGCCTGCATTTCCATCTGACATTAAGACGATTAAAAGAAAAACAAAATTATAATCTAAGAATTAACAATTACAACTAAGTTTCAAAGAAAATGTTTGCAACTGAGAAGATGCAATCATAAAGCCATTCCTGGTTGGCAAGCTGGATGTAAAGATGCTTTATTTATTTAAATATCTTTTACTTATTATTTTATTTAACTGAAAGGCTCCTGTATACATAGAACCTAGTTTATTACTTTTTCATCTGTAGAGATGATACCCATTGTAATCCCAATTAATGAAGTTTAAATACAGCGAGACTCTGACCATCACCTAAATATTACCTATGCCAACATGAGCTTCTTGTATCATGCTCACATCATTAGCTCCATCACCGATAGCTAATGTGATAGGCTTCTCTGGAGATGTTTTCAGCAGCCGTACAACCTGTAAAAGGAAGACAGACTTCTTTAAAACAAAACTGACATTATTTGGGAATCTGTGATTTGAGACATTGAGGTTTCTCAACAAACTCAAGAGAAGGAAATGCTTAAAATTCAAACATTTAACCAAAACATTTTCTAATGGATAGAAAATAATTCAGAGATTAAAACTGTCTCTTTCCAACAAGTCGAGAATGTATTTCCACTGAAAACTGATTGAAGGAACATTGGCTTTAATCTAGACTTAGTATTTCCTGATCTAAAATGCCATCCAAATACAGCTAGATTTTTTTCCCCTCAAAGCAAATATGGCGCATAACTAAAATGCTAGTTTATTTGGCTTCTTCTCTTAAAATCTCAGGAAAGTTATTTTAAAGAAAAGGATCACACTTCTTCTATATCAGAAGTAGGGAGTTTCTGCCCCTCTGCTAAATTGTAGCTCCCAGCATTTCTCACATGCTCACTGTATGGAATCAAATGCAGGACCCCAAAGCAAATAATCAAGGCTCGCTGCAGTGTTTATTAAACAGTACACACTGGTTGAAAGGAATTGCTACACCAAGACTTTTGAGGCTGACTGGCTGGGAAATGTTGGCGCACTTTGGGTACAGGTAGTCTTCGACTTATGATGACAGTTGAACCCAAAATTTATGTTGCGAAGTGAGACAGTTTTTAAGTGAGTTTTGCCCCATTTTATGACCTTTCTTGCCACAGTTCTTAAGAGAATCACTGCTGCTATCAGATTAGTAACATGGTTGTTAAGTGAATCTGGCTTCCCAACTGACTTTGTCAGAATTTCCCAAAAGGGGATCACATGACTCTGGGACATTGCAATTTTCATAAATATGAACCAGTTGCCAAACGTCTGAATTTTGATCACGTGACCACGGGCATGCTGCAACAGTCATAAGTGTGAAAACCGGTCATAAGTCACTTTCTTCAGTGCTCTTGTAACTTTGAACTGTCACTAAACCGTTCAAAGTTGAGGACTGCCTGTACACCAAACAGCACATGCCAGTCATATAGCAAGACAGTCAACAGCAAGCCCTACTGCCTGTCTATTTTGTAGTCAGGTAGACAGATGTCATTAGGCAGAAGGCTCAATCCTTCTAAACTCAGCTTGAAACAGGAAGGTTGAGAGAGGCTGTGGCAGGTTATAACAGCCACACACGGCTGACGCACAACCTCCACGAGCTCCTGTTCATTCACACCTTGGCTTTCTGCAGAGGTGCCATACGACAGCAGAGCACAGCAGAGCAATTTCGGCAGACCTCCATGAAGAGTTTCTCATGTTGTCTGAGGGCCAGGGAGAGGCTGGTCCCATCCACTACCAGCCCGTGCTGGATTACGTGGTCGTCCTTTATTCTAACAAAGGAAGGAGAAAAACGGGAGAAACAAATCCGTTATTGTTTCAACTACAGACAATGAGATCGGGCTGAACTAGAAACCCTTCCCACCTGCTAAGCAGCAGGCTCATTAGCTTCTTGTATGCTCATTTTGTAGCGAAGATGATGATGGAATAGGATTGCTTTATTTTCATATTGGAAAATTCTGCTAGCAATTCGAAACAACATTTCGAGTTGGAAGTGCTTTGTTTTTGTTGTTCTGAGCCGATCACAAGTACCCTCGATGTTCTTTTCAACTATTCTAGAAGTGTTCCGAGTTCAAAATGGGGCCATGTTGAGCTTAGACTATTGTTGCTAATGCCAACACAACTTATTTGTAGTTCAAAACCAAGTTTTTCCTAGCTTAAAGTCAGATCTCTATTGAAAAACAAAAAAGAATGTTGGAATCTTTTAGAACAGTGTTTCTTAACTGTTTTTTTCTCTCAGGGCTCCAACGCTAGAACTGTGTTGGTTATTTTGGAATATTTTGAACAACAGAAAAATTACGGAGGGCCCCAAAAGAGCTTTTCATCGTATGGGTTGTATTTATCGATGTCTGCCATATTAAAAATTAAAACGGATGCGTTTACTGCTGCTGCCATTTCTCACAATTGCTTGATAGGATTTTAATATTGTATTATTTTTAAACGTAGGCTGGCACATAATTTTGATTTTGAGCTCCCCTGACAGTTTCTTGGGGGACCCTCGGGGGATCTTGGACCACATTTAAGAAACACTATTTTAGAAACCTCGGTTCCCCATCAGAGGCGGTTGACATCGCTTCAGAAACGTGCAAGGTTTTACCTCTTGGCGAGCTGTCTCAGCTGCTCCGCACACGTGCTGTCTGATTTGTGTTGCACGAGTTCCAGGATATTCATGGTTCTGTGGAAGTGTCCACACGATAAGCTGACGCTTACTGCTGTTTCGTGTTTGTCTCCCGTGAGCACCCACACTTTAATCCCTGCCAAGCGAAGAGCTTCTATGGTTTCCTGGACTTTATCTTGCAGCCTGAAAATGAGCAAATTGCATTGGTGAACAATATCAGAACTCATTGGTCAGGATCATGAACGTCTCTGCTTGGACATTGTAGCATACCTGTTAGTCCAAAATCAGAAAGATTCTGATAGCTTCTTTCCAGACTAACAAATTTTATTCAAAGATGATTACAGCTCTAATGAAGATGGATGTGATGAAGTGAAATAAATAGTGCAGGAAATAAATTCTGAATAAATTTTTATTTATTACCAGGCTCCTTCTGATTTTTGATTTTGTGGAGGTTATCTGTTTTCACTATTAATGGAGAAGATCGAAAAGTTTGCCTTCCAACCACTGGATATTTATATTCAAGCACTATTTCAGCTTTGGATATTTCATGTCTAAGCATCCAATGCTTTTCTCAAACTTGGTGTTTACATCAAGCTATTTCCATATTCAGGCTTATTCCAAGAAGCAACAACTGAAGAAACTATGTTCATTTTTAACAAGCCCAACAGTGGGAAGTGACATCTAGTGACTTTGGTTGATTTTGAAGAAAAGAAAAGAAAAAAAGCAAAGTAGGAAGGACCTAGGATAGGGATGGGCAGCCTTGGCTCTTTTATGACTCGTGGACTTCAACTCCCAGAATTCCTGAGCCAGCATGGCTCAGCTTGGAAACCTCTCCCTTTCCCCTCAGCATGGCTGGCTCAGGAATTCTGGGAGTTGAGGCCCACGAGTCATAAAAGAGCCAAGGTTGCCTATCCTTGACTAGGAGATCACCAGGAAATCTTACAGGATAAGCTAGACTAGGTAGTTACAAACAAACAAGTATTCCCAAAGAATGCTGGGGCAAACTACTTGCACACTGTGGTGAAGAAAATGTCACCGAGAATTGAATTTTACTCACAGTTACTTTATGTAGTATAAAATACATCTAGGCCACCAACAGGATGGTCACCCCTGCTACAGGTCAGATTTCATGTCACAGGGAACACGCTGGTTAACACAAGCTATACCATAATAGTCTCAATTCCCAGTAGAGTCCTTGTTGCCCTCTGAGCTTGGCTGTTTTCCTGCAGAGGTTTCACTCAGACATCTAAACTTAAGAGAGGAACAAGGACTCCACAGTCCAACCCTGAGCTACAAATATTATCTTCTATCTGTATCAATTCCCAGTCTCACCACACTGATCCTTTTTAAACAATGATCACATACTGGGCCTGTTAAATACTAATTGCCACCTTCCTAATTCATCTTATCGTTGTGGGATGGCAACTATAAAGCTTTTCCTCTTTGAAGTGTAACACGTTCAATAGGATACAGGTAGTCCTTGACTTATGACCACAATTGAGCCCAAGATTTCTGTTGTTAAGCGAGACAGTTAAGTGAGTTTTGCCCCATTTTACCACTTTTCTTCCCATAGTTGTTAAGTGAATTGGTAACATGAATGTTGAGTGAACCTGAATTCCTCACTGATTGGCTTGTCAGAAGGTTGCAAAAGGTGATCACGTGACCTCTGGGATACTGCAACTGTCATAAATATAAGCCAGTTTCCAAGCATCCGAATTTTGATCATGTGACCACGGGGATGCTGCCGGGGTCACAGGTGTGAAAAATGGTCGTAAGTCCCATTTTTCAGTGCTGTTGTAATTTCAAATGGTCATTAAACGAGTGGTTGTTAAGCCGAGGTCTATCTGTACTTATTCACACAAGGCTGGGCGCTGTGGCGCCAATTGCCATCTTCCCTCTTTATGCTGATGGGAAAAATTATACGTATCACACACTGCTATTTATGGAGAAAAGAACGAGCATCGAGCTAGTCTGTGCCAGAATTTCTTTCCCAAATAAACCAAACAGGAAGTATATACTTGTCTTCTACTCCTGTAGCTCCAAGTAATTCCAAGTCTTTTTCAATAAAGTTATATGCCTCTGCCACCCGTTCTTCTCGTTGCTGCAAGGCAGTTTTTGCTTCAAAAAGACGCTGCTCCACCTCTTTATACTCCTCCTCTGTGAATTTTCTGTAAGCTACACAAAGAATTCTTAATCCTTTCTGTGAAAAGAATAGAAAGTGATTATTAGATAGGACACTGACAAAAATGTTTGCTTACTGATGGAGTGCACTGCTTCATTAAATGAAAGTCCTGACAGTTTAGGTCTCCCCAAAAGTGCCTTTTTTCCACAAGGCATCTTCAGTTTTACTCCCATTAATGGAAGAGGATGGAACCAAGCAAAACAGACCAAAGTTCAAGGGCAGATGTGGTCTGTAGCTTGTCAAATAATGCTAATTTTGGAAGGCAATGAAGAGATTCTTCTCTCTGGGAGAAGAAGGCGCTACTTGAATCAGAGGCAACTGGTTATAGGGAGAAATAGAAGGAAGTAGAGAAAGGCTCATGGTCTGAAGAAGCTGAAATGGTTTATTTTTCCAAATCTTTCTCAAGATGTTTTGACCACAGTTCCTATAATCCCTGAACATAAAAGCTGGGGCTGATGGGAAAGTCTGTGGTAAAATCAAGCCCTAGCTTTATAAACAAAATCCATAAATAGGGTCGGCATCAGGTAGCTATCCCAGGATCTCAAGCCAAAGCATTCTGAATAAAATTGCCTATCGATGCCCAACACATATCTCAACCAATTCTTAACCCACACACTTAATGGATCTGAAATATTATACATTGTACTGTTTATTATAGTATCATTATATTTGTTACAGTAATAATTGCTTCTTAATTTAGCACAAAGGTGAGGAACTATGGCCCTTCAATTCAACCATGGACTTCAATTCTGGGAGTTGAAGCCCACAGGCCATAAAAGGGGTGTAGTTCCCCACCCCTGATTTAGCAGCACCTCTACCACGATCTATCAGAAAGTTTGAAAACAGGCTCTGACCTACCAATGCAAATTCATCCACATGGATTCTTGTTTTTTCTACCTCACCATTTTTACTGGAAGGAAGAATAACAGATTCTGCTCCTTTGGTAAATAAAAGCTTTTCACCTATTCCAAGAAAACAAAAAAAAAAAATACAAGTTAGTAGTGCTTATCTGAGGCTATTCATGTTCCTTTTATAGAACTGGTTTTAGGGGGGGGGTGTCGGAGAATATGTAACATCAAAAGCATCATATATATTTTTTAAAATCTTACCTGATGGACTTTCTACGATCACACTCATTCTCCTACGATTGGCATCAAAGTCCAGTACGTGTAGTAATTTGTACCTTTAAAGGAGAAGAGGCTCATGCTTAGTTTGGGTATGGAAATAAAGGCCATGCTCGTGAAATGCAGAACGTTATGAAAACTGCATGCCTGACATTGCACGTACAGGTTATACTTGATGGGCATGCTGGGCCTGGAGAAGAGGACTCCTCTCAACTGAGAGGCTGATTATAGTCATTTCTGTAATTGATGGAGGGACAGAAAAAGGAAGGAACGAAGGTGAAGGGACACCATTTCCCCAAAGCCATGTGCCGTTTACATAATAATAATAATAATAATAATAATAATAATAATAATAATAATAATAATAATAGTAATAGTAATGATAAAGTTGGAAGGGACCTTGGAGGTCATCTAGTCCAACCCCTTGCTCAGGCAGGAAACCCTATACCATTTCGGACAAATGGCTGTCCAGTCTCTTCTTAAAAACTTCCAGTGTTGGAGCATTCACCGCTTCTGGAGGCAGGTTGTTCCATTGGTTAATTGTTCTAACTGTCAGTAAGTTTCTCCTTAGTTCTAGGTTGCTTCTCTCCTTGATTAGTTTCCATCCGTTGCTTCTTGTCCTGCCTTCAGGCGCTTTGGAGAATAGCTTGACTCCCTCTTCTTTGTGGCAGCCCCTGAGGTATTGAAACACTGCTATCATGTCCCCCCTCGTCCTTCTCTTCGTTAAACTACACATACCCAATTCCAGCAACCGTTCCTTCACCTCTCATTTCACTAAGTGGCTTACTTATAGCGGTTCGTTTTAAGTAGAGTTCTATTTCTTCAGTGTAACCAAATGCAGCCTGTACTTAGGAAAACAAAATGCTCAGGGCAGGCAAGTTTTAAAGCTGACATATCATTAACTGTTCAAGTGATACTTAAGGAGAGGCGTTTCTGGTGTGTAGCTTAGGAGGAATGCCATTATGGTAAGGTCACATTCCTGGAAGATACAATGTTAAGAAGCTACTAAGCCTGGACCAGATGAGTTATTGAGGCCGCATTGTAAGTGTTTCAAGGATAAATGTTCACAACCTCAACAAAGCACTGAGAACTCTATTTTACAGGGAGGAAAAATGACAAGAGAGTTGGAAAGAAGCTAATATAATATTAATGCCTAAAGAGGGATAAATTTGACTTTAGCAACAAACTACAGTCAATACTATAATGTTGATTACTACTAAGTTGATTATGATTTTAGCTGAAAGACTGAAAATAATTTTGCAAGAATTTAGATAGATAGACAAATAGACAGACAGACAGACAGACAGATAGATAGATAACCTTTATTGTCATTTTTTACTGTGGGCACAATGGCACACATTAAAAATGAAATTTAGTTGCTTGCTCTCAAAGTGTACACATACATACAGTAACACACATTTAAATATACTATATTACAACATGTGTATAAACCCACACCCATACATATAACATATAAATATTAATCACTGTCCATCTTGAATACATAACGGTAGGAGGAAGCGTTAGAGTTTGCAAGGTTAATACTTAATTTATTCATGAGGATCGGGGTGGATTTTATTTCAAATCTTTCCTGTAAATGTGAAGAACTTGAAGGGATATTTTATCATATATGGTAGATCGGTAAAAAAGCCAAACAATTTTGAATATAAATAAATGCACTAATTCAGAAAAAAGTTAAAGACTAATGTATATACTCAGAGACTTTTCTTTTGTGGATTCTTTTGGGATTAACAGACAAACAGCTAGAAAAAGGCCATGGAGCTTTGTTTTTATATATGACAACTGCAGGGAGATTACTATATGTTCAAAAGTGGGAAAGTTTGAATATTACCCACAATAGAATAATGGTTGGTGAAGATGATAGAACTCGCAGAAATGGCTAAATTAATTTTTTATATTAGAGAAAACACAGCATCTACATTTATGGTTCGCTAGAAACCTTTTATAGACTTTTTGCATGTAACAGAAAAATGCATTTATGACTTGTGGTTTAGAAGATTAGAAAAAAAAACAGGGAATAGAAAAGTGAGCTTTTTTTGTAATCAGAGTAAGAGATCACTTCGAAATCATGCTTTAATATTTGCTACAAAGGAAAAATGCAGCATTGGAAACATTTTTTAAATTTATTTTTATCTTTTCTTTCTGAACTTTTGTCTTTTTGTCCTTCTATTCTGTATTAGTTTGTCTTAGGTTTTATGTTCTCTTTAAAACTTTTAATAACCTTTATATTATAAAAAAAAAAGAATACAAAGCTACCTTGCAAAGCAGTTACGATAGCAGAATAATCACAACAAATAACAATGGTGACTTATTTTATTTTATTATATTTATTTCAAACATTTATATAGCCGCCTATCCTTCAACCAATTCTGGGTGGCTCCTAATCAAAATTAAAAGACATATATCATCACTTTAAAATTGTAAGACTGATTAAAACATTAAAAATAACAAGAACCTGGCATTCATCTCTTTCAATGTGCGATTATCGCTTGAGGGAAAAGCCAGGTCTTTTGCACAATGCAGGAGACCAAGCCTTAAGAACAAAATGCAAGCTGAGAAGAATCAAGATCACATAAAGTATTAATACCACTTTACAATGCCTTGGTAAGGCCACACTTGGAATACTGCATCCAGTTTTGGTCACCAGGATGTAAAAAAGATGTTGAGACTCTAGAAAGAGTACAGAGAAGAGCAACAAAGATGATTAGGGGACTGGAGGCTAAAACATATAAGGAACGGCTGCTGGAATTGGGTATGTCTAGTTTAACGAAGAGAAGGACGAGGGGGGACATGATAGCAGCGTTCCAATATCTCAGGGGCTGCCCCAAAGAAGAGGGAGTCAAGCTATTCTCCAAAGCACCTGAAGGCAGGACAAGGAGCAACAGGTGGAAGCTAACCAAAGAGAGAAGCCACCTAGAACTAAGGAGAAACTTCCTGACGGTTAGAACAGTTAACCAGTGGAACAACCTGCCTCCAGAAGCGGTGAATGCTCCAACACTGGAAATTTTTAAGAAGAAACTGGACAGCCATTTGTCCGAAATGGTATAGGGTTTCCTGCTTGAGCAGGGGGTTGGACTAGATGACCTCCAAGGTCCCTTCCAACTTTATCATTAATTATTATTATTATTATTATTATTATTATTATTATTATTATTATTATTATTAAGACAGTAACAGACAGCAAGTGCTGCCTCTGCAAAGAAGCTGAAGAAACAGTGGACCACCTGGTTAGCTGCTGCAAGAAGACTGTACAGACAGACCACAAACAACGGCATGACAAAGCAGCAACAATGGTGCGTTGGAAAATCTGCAAGAAATACCATTTGCCTGCAAGCAAAAACTGATGGCACCATAAAATAGAGAAAGGAATAGGAAATGAAGAAGCTAAAGCACTCCGGGACTTTAGAATTCAAATAGTCAATCACCTGGCACAAAGCACTCAGTCTAACAACTGTCGATAAGAAAGACAAAAAAAGTCTGGATAGTGGACATAACAGAAAAGATAAATCTAATAACAACAACAATAACAACACCTCATATATATGATCATCAAGTTACTTGGAGGAAAGCCTGGATGCAAACTGATAAAAGCGAACCTAATCTATAGCCTATTTAATGTTCTTTTGCTTCCTTCAATTGGGAGGGAACCATCTTTTTCTTAACTGCAACAAACATATAACTGGTGATCCCAAGATCTGAAGAAACGCTTTGTTGAAACAAGTATGTTCCTTAAGTTATTATTTCTTTCTATATTGCTTCTTCTACACAGGGGGAGTGAGATGAAGATGTGCTAAGATTCCTTATATCAAGATGTGCTAAGATTCCTTATATCAAAAATTAAAGGTAAAGTTTTCTCCTGTCCAGTCTAGGTGCTCATCTTCTTAGCCGTGGGAGCCAGCATTGTCCAAAGATGCTTCCGTGGCCATGTGGCCAACTTGACTATACACCAAGAATCATGAAACGCTGTTACCTTCCCACCAAAGTGGTACCTGTTTATCTACTCACATTTGCATGTGTTTAAACTGCTAAGTGGGCAGGAGCTATGCAAGTGACGAGAGCTCACCTCATCGTGTGGTGCTCGGGCTTTTGAACTCGGCCTGTCAGCTTTCCAACTGACAAGTTTAGATCTTTAACCACTGGGCCATCACCCCTCCCCCCCAATATCAGAAATTAGGATCTTTTTGATTCACTTTTGCTGAAGTTGATGGCAGTTGCATTCAGCAACATTTCTAGGACCGTAAGTTTTACTCCTACACTACAGAATTTCAGTATTTTTTAAAAAAGACCAAGGAAATGTATTCTTTGTTGCTTTACCTTTCTGGCTTTCCACAGCTTTTAAGCTCCATGCTTTCTGCATTTGCCCCAGTAAACACAACACCAACCCTAAAAGTTCAAAAGAAAGTGAAAGAAGTGGATAACCTTACGAACATTAAAAACCGTGTCTTACGTAGAAAAGTAATGTTGCTCCCAATTATCCATGCATAGCAGTAAAATGCTTTTAGAAAGAATCTTGAATAATTCTTCCACGAAGGTGCTTTCAGATTTCATAACAGACTCCTGTTTAAGGATGGTTGAACTTAACGGTAACAAGTTGTATTAAAGCCAGTTAATTTAATCAAAAATGAAAATTTGAAATTGACATCTAGACTCCAACCCATTTTTGCTAATCTCTATGCAGCTCTATTAAAGAACAAGAATTAAAATGTATGCCATATAGATTTAGTTACATTGGGAGAAGGAACAAGATTGCACCAGTGCCGCAATGCAAAATCCCCACCGCTCTGCACTCTGCAAGCCCTGGCGTGACCAGCTGAGGTTCACCATCTTCCTCCTGCCACTGACAAGGCACAATAAGGTCTGTCCCTAGGCAAGGCAAGTGCTGGAGGTCCTAGGCCAGACATGTCAAACACAAGGCCCGGCGGCCAGATGCGGCCCGCAAAGTGGTTTCATGTGGCCCCTGAAGCCATCCTGGAAACAGTGAGGGAACGGCCCCCACTGCCTTGGACCTGGCCCAGGCCGGCCAGGAGCCAAGGTACAATTTTGTGGTGGGCATCTATGCTGAAATGCATTCAGTCTTAGCTCCACAAGGCCGTCTGGAACCAGCGAGGAACCAGCCCCTGCCATGTCGGCCCTGCCCCCTGGGTGCATGCTGGGGAGGTGTCACCCTTTGTGAGGAATGAAGAAATGCACCATGCCTTGGCGCTTGCCCCAGTCCCACCCCCTTCTGCCAGAGACCCTCAGATCTGTCCCACTCCTGCCCAGGCCCCCACAGGCACCCTTGACACGAACGATGTAGAGCTGGCCATGCCCATCCAGTAGGCTGCACCCACTCTGGCCACACCCACCTAGTAGGCCCTCAATGAAATTGTGGCCCTCAGTGAAATTGAGTTTGACACCCCTGTCCTAGGCCTTCTTCCAGAGGCCACACACTCAGTTCTCCAAATTACAGGGGCCATCCCTGTGTTGCTTTGGAAAACATCACAAGTTTTCTGAAGGCTTTCCGAAGCATTGGAGAATAATGAGTATGGCCTTCTTGCAAGGCTCCAGAAGGCCTCAGAAGCCTTCTGAAGCATGACAAAAACAGTAGGAGCAGTTTTGGTGGCTTTCCCTCAAGGGATGTGTACAAGCTGACGTCAGGTAAGTGTCTGCTGTGGATCCCTTACTTGGGTTTCTACACTAAGAAGGGACACTGTGGCCTAAATGCCATTCTCAGTTTCACACTTCTTCATCCCTTCCAATTCTCAATCATGTCAATCAATCATTCTCAATCAGTAAATCATGCTGGGAGTAATCAGTGGAAAAAGGAGAAAGGGCCACCCTAGTACCTGCTGGCTGGACACTATAAAAGATGACACCAGGATGACCATGGCGGATCTGAATGCTGATTCATAGAGTGGTCAGGGATCGGACATGACTGAATGGCTGATAATGATGACTGATTCTCAAGGGCCTGCAATTCTGTTGAGACTCATCAGCTGAATTTACTAAATGGAAGAGCGAGGCAGGGTAACTCTAGCAGAGGGCCCAGAGACAATCAGTTTGGTATCATGGCTGTTATTTTACTAACCAACCATAGTTGTGTTATAAAAAGCAATGCAATGCCCTCATTCTTGGTAATTCATCCCTGGTATTCTAGAAATAATACAAGAGCACATCTAGTAAGGGTTAAAGAAAGGCTGGACAACACATCTGGACCTCTCTTCTCCTTGCTGGCTCCCCCAATTGGACCCCAGACAAAGACTTATCTGGTATTGCCCTTTATAATGCAGAGCCTGGCCTTATGATCCTTACCTGCGAGCTGCTTCAACTAAAGCTTTTTCATCTGGGGACGAGGCATAGTACTCCAATTCAGATGGTAGACCATTGCTACGCCACGGGCTGTCGCAAATGCCATCAGTTTGGTCATTATTAATCTGCACTGTATGACAGAGACAAAGAGCTTTCAGGAAGAGTTCTTCCTCATGTGTCTGTTAAAAAAAAATTAAAGACAAAACACTGCGATGAATCTGATTTATTCATTTTATCTTTATCCTATGAAGCAAACTCCTACCAAAATAAAAAAGTTAGGATTAGCCACAAAAATGTACGCCTATGTATTTTCATAGTGAATATCTGGGCTATCATAACTAGAGAACTTTCCCCCCCCCCTCTTAACTAAAAATACAACAGACAATACTGTCCAAAGTACTGAACAAGGTCTCACAATGTTTTATGAAAATTTTGGACAGGGTTTTTTATATTTTTCACAAATGGACTTGTCTACAACTTTATTAAGATTGTTCTTTTATTAACAATTGACAATCTACAGATGTTCCACAACTTATGAACATAACATGAGCCCGCAATCCAGTATTTGAGGGGCTGCCACAAAGAAGAGGGGGTCACGTTATTCAACAAAGCACCAGAGGGAAGGACAAGAAACAATGGTTGGAAGCTGATCAAAGAGAGAATTAAGCAGAAACTTCCTGACAGCGAGGACAATTAACCAGTGGAATAGGTTGCCCTCAGAAATCGTGGGCGCTCCATCACAGGAGATTTTTAAAAAGAGGCCAGACAGTCACTTGTCTGAGATAGTATAGGTCAGTGGTGGCGAACCTATGGCACGCGTGCCAGAAGCGGCACTCAGAGCCCTCTCTGTGGGCACGCGTACCATGCCCCGGAGATGGCAACCGTCCCTCTTCAATCAGCCACCCACTAACTCACTGAGGTCCCACGTAGCTGGATGCACTCATGCGCTCGCTGACCTCTGTGTGCAGGGGCCGATGGTGTCAGGCAGCAGCCGCCCCGGCCCCTGCCTCACCTTGCCCTGTGACAATGGCACCCACGCCCTGCCTCGCCTCTCCCCGTAGGATGAGCCTCCTGCCCACCGCCCCACATGCCAGAGACCCCCTGGATCTCCCCCAACCCTGCCCGGCTCCCACAGGCGTCCCTCCCCACGAGCAACATTGAGGTGATCACGCCCACCTTGGCCACACCCACCCAATCTGCTATGACCACCACAGCCATGCCCATCCAGTGGGCCACGCCCACCTGACACTTAGTGATAAATAAGTGGATTTTGGGTTGCAGTTTGGGCACTCGGTCTCTAAAAGGTTCGTCATCACTGGTATAGGTTCTCCTGCTTGAGCAGGGGGCTAGACTATAAGACCTCCAAGGTCCCTTCCTGTTCTGTTCTGTTCTGTTCTATTCTAATTCTGTTAAAAGCTATTAGATACAGCCAGTCAAGATAAAATTTGTATTTTTTTATTATTAAATTCATATCCTGACTTTATTTTGTGCATCTTAAGGCAGAATACATAATTCTCCAACCTGCTGGCCAAAACATTCAATACTTCTCCTACTTTAAGATCAGTTTGAATTTCTTTTCCTCAAAATATAGAAGAGTATTAATAACGTATTACACTAAATGTGCTAAAACTGCATTAGCATTGCTGCTATTATATTCTGAATTTGACAGAGTAAAAATACATTTTTAAAAAATAACAGTTGGAGATGGGATTTGAAAGTAATTCTTTTGGATAATTGGTACATTATACTCAAACAGTAATAAGGATCAATGTTTTGAATGCAAGGTTTTTAAATATAGGATTCCAAACACAGATGCTCATTCTCAATTAGCACAGAACATTAGGAAAAAGAAGAACATTAACATAAAAAAATGGAGCATCATGCAATTGATCTCCTGCAGACAATATCTAATTGCTCTTAGAAACCTAAATAATAACAGATTTTAGTTGCAGTCAGAATTAAAGAAAATTCACACAGCGGAAAGTTTAGAAGTTACTTTTGAAAAACACTCATAAAAAAACCTTCAAGACGGATGTCTATAGAGATTCTCAGTCATCCAGATGAGAGTTATCCCAAAGATGCTTTTTCACGAGGCAACTGGACTTTCTTGTTTTTTTCTTTGAAGATGTTTCACTTCTCATCCAAGAAGCTTCTTCGACTCTGACTGGATGGTGAAAGTCCAATGGCCTCGTGAAAAAGCATCTTTGGGATAACTTCAAGAAGGACCCGAACTTTAGACTGTAGAAAGCTCAAAATTAATTTCAAGAAATTAATTTTAGAAAGAACTTACAAAACTGGGCGGTACTCCATCTGGAAAGTCTTCTATCAATCCCTCAGGAACTAATCTGCCATTGATTTCTTGATATTTGAGACCATTAATGGAACATTCCCGAAACTGCATCACATTTTCTGTCAATGTACCAGTTTTATCTGTAAATACATACTCCACCTACAATAAGTTAAGAAGTTATGTCAGTCAAATAAGTTTAAGAATTAAAAAAGGCAGCAAGTCTCCCTCATATCCACTAGTGGGACATTCATATGGTCTGCAGATACACTGCACTCATTTCAACTTGTGCATATTTATTGTACTTATCTGAAATAGGTGTAATTGGTTTATTATAAATACATGGAAAATAAGTATTCAATAAACTTTTCTAATAATTACACAATGTATAGGGCAACAATGCTCATTTAAAATCTCAGACTGTGGTCCACTGCTGAACCACTTCCAAATTACAATTTTTTAGTGAGACAAAAGGGAAAAAATTATAAAATCCATAGGGAATATTAACTGTGTAAAAAGAACAACTATGCATTTAATCACTTTTGATTAATTAAATCAAATCTAGCTTCATCTTGTTTCAAACACTATTTTGAATTATTTTATACCTGTCCCAGTTCTTCATTGAGGTCTGAAGTATTTACTTGGGCTTTTTCATTTGTTTCTTCATGATAGAGATCAAGGTCCCAACCAATAAAAAAAGACCCAAGAAATTTCTGCATCTCCACAGTCACATAAAGTGAAATGGGTATAATGAAGTTGTAAAGTACCAGGAAAGCAAGAAAATCTGAAATGAAGCGCAAGATCTAAAAGAAGAAAGGAAACAGTATTATTAAACTAAAAAATAAGAGAGAAAGCATTTGAGGACAAGATTATAACAGATACAATCAAAATGCAATTCTATAAAACAGTGATATTGAGATAATGAGGGCATATTCTGTAACAGCCTAACTAACAGGTAGTCCTTGACTTACAGCCATAATTGAGCCAAGAATTGTGCTGGTCATTAAGAAGATCATCCTGTAACTGACCCATATTTATGATGTTTTGTGGCAGTTAAACAAGTCACCATGGTTGTTAAACAAATCAACAGTCATTACGCAAATGCCATGGTTGTTAAACTGGAAATAAACGCTGGTTATGGCAAAAAGTATAAATCAGAGTTATGTATCTTTGGGATACTGTTATAAATGTGGGCTGGTTGCCCAATGCCCAAAATGGAATGGGACAACCTGCCACAGCCAACTCGCTATGGCCACCTCTCTACGGCCAACTTGCCGCAGCAGCTAACTCACCATAGCCAACTTGCCACAGCCAACACGCTGCGGGACAACTCATCGTAGGACAATTTATCAGTTCAATTTAATTATTTAAAATAAATAAAATGTTTTAAATTTTTTGTCATTCAGATTTCATTTTGTCCCTCCTTTTGCATCCTTTTTTTAATGTTTCCATTCCATCATTTCTTTCGTCCTGCAGTGAGTTGTCCTATGGCACGTTAGCTGCAGCAAGTTGGCCACGGCGAGTTAGGCATAGCGAATTGTCATAGAACCCACCCAAAATGCAATCATGTTGCATTATGGGGAAAGAGATGACTATCAACATTTCAAATCTGGGTCGTACGTACTTTTGGGTGTGTTGTAACTTTGAAAGATGCTAAATGCCTGGTAGTTAAGTCAAGGACTACCTGTATATCATCTAAGAACTACTCAACCAAGCTTATGTTTCTTCCAAAAGTAGTGTCTTTTCTGTTTGTGATCAAATAATTTTAATCCGGAACAGGGATCTTACTCCATATTTGATATACTTTTGTCTCATCCCTTTTCCACTGAGCTGAAATTAGTATAGGTAGTGCTCGACTTACAACAGTTCATTTAATGACTATTGGAAGTTATAACGGCACTGAAAAAAGTGATTTATGACCGTTTTTCACACTTACGACTATAGCAGTATCCCCATGATCAAAATTCAGACACTTGACAAATAATTCATATTTATGACAGTTGCAGTGTCCTGGGGTCATGTGATCACCTTCTGACGAGCAAAGTCAATGGGGAAGCTAGATTCACTTAACAGCCACGTTACTAACTTAACAAGTGCACTGACACTTAACAATTCTCGCAAGAAAAGTTGTAAAATGAGGCAAAACTCACTTAACAAATGTCTTACATAGCAACAGAACCTTTGGGCTCAAACGTGATCATACGTTGAGGACTATCTGTATATAAAAGCCACTCATTCCATTTGCCTCTGTTGGCAAATAGTGTTATAGCTAAAGGGAGACAGGGAGGCCTTAATCATAATATCAGTCCAAGAGTAGATTCAGATAACATACTAAATCTAATCTCAGTTTGACCAATGTGACATGTGAATGTATCTATTTTCTTCTCTTAAGACTGCTGGTTACTATGTAAAGATGGGTTTTCTTTGCTGCATAGAAGCATTATTTGCTCTTCTTGCTTGGGATGAGTATATAGAAACAACTTCTAAGCATGTGAGGTTTTTTTTTTAAAAAAAAACATCCTTTTAAGCAGAAAAGTAAGTCACATATTATCAGCTACAATAATGGGGCAAGAAATTAACTGAAGAAAATTCTTGTCTCCCTTTAGCTATTTTTATAAGTCAAATCAAAACTTCCGATACAGGAAAAAACACCTAAATCAGACATAACATTTACATTTTACCTTACTGCTGTTCCTTTCATGATCAGTTTGCTGGTTATACCAAGGTTCATTCCACTTCTCTTCATTCTGCCAGGCATACTTCAGTATTGTACTTAAGACAGCTTCACAAAGGAGGATTATTAGGTAGATAATCAAAAAAGAATTCATAGACCTGGAGGGGAGACAATTGAATACCCAAATGCTACTGAATTAAAACTGTCCTATAGGTAAAAAAATAAAATAAGAGGAGCACTGAAGAGAAAGGGAGCTCTGGGCAATTCAAATATATTTGCACATTACTTAAAAAAAAACTACGGCAACAATAATTCTAACCATCTTTGTGTTGTATTCAACCAACTTGAACTTTTGCATACGGGGAAGGGTGGAGATTGAAAAAGGAAGCGTTTGATAGAATCATTAGGTTGGAGATGACATTAGAGGTCTTCTAGTTCAAACCCCTGCCCTACCATCCTGGACCAATGGCCGTCTCAATTTTTCTTGAAAACCACCAGCTTTGCTTTTTCTGTCTTATCCCTTGATTGCAAAAAAAAAAAAAGTGAAAAAAAAAGAGTTCTTCTCTATTAAAGGCAGAAAATGGAAAACCACGAGAAGTTTCTTGCTTCAAGGTATGGTAGGACAAGATTTGGGGAAAAGATACAGGCTGGTTCATTTAGAAGTGAAGCATGTAAAACAGAGGTCCCCAACCTTCTGGGCACCAGGGACCGGTTCCGTGGAGAAAGGTTTTTCCATGGACTGGAGAGTATGTGGTTTTGTGTGTTGCCTGCATCCCACGGATGGGGCTTTGCTTGTTTGTGTGGACCGGCTGTTGGCATGCTGTGGCCCGGTTCCGGTCCATAGACCAGCGGTTAGGCACCCCTGATGTAAAACACTTAAGGGCAAAGCGATATGCAGAATGAATTCAATATCTCTAGGACTGTGCTTTGTCATACACTGAGGACCTATCAGAGTAGTTTTCAGAAGCAAGTTTGATCTGACTACATCCCATGTCATGTGGTGATTTATTTCCAAGTTCCCTTGAGGAACAAACTCCACATTCAATACATCTGAATATTCCAAAAGCTAATATTAATTTTGCTAAAGTAGAACGTGAGAACATTAGCCTAATAATACTTATCAAATGGTTCAAGCTACAGAGATGTTCAAAAAATGTTTTGAACACATGTTCCTTTGCTTTTTAACTTAAGTGTCTTTTGTATTTTTTAGCTTTTAAAATTATTCTTTATATTCCATCCTGCTAGTCTATGACCATAATAAATATTTGAACTGTTCCCTTGCGCGCTGCATCCCTTCTTCTGAATTCCTCTTGCTTTACAGTTTAAATTAATACATTAATCTTTAACGGAGTAAAATACTGCCCACCACATACTTCTCTACTGCTGATCGTTTCTGTGATTTGCTCTTATAATTCAATGCCATCTTTGTCTCCATTCCTGTATACACAGCAACACCTATAAAGAGTAAAAGAATGTTCAGCATGGCAGCAAGACTGTGTATTACTGTAGGCCAGGGGTAGGCAACCTTGGCTCTTTTATGACTCGTGGACTTCAACTCCCAGAATTCCTGAGCCAGCATGGCTCAGCTTGGAAGCCTCTCCCTTTCCCCTCAGCATGGCTGGCTCAGGAATTCTGGGAGTTGAAGTCCACGAGTCATAAAAGAGCCAAGGTTGCCTACCCCTTCTCTAGGCTTTTTCTCGTCCCTTTCTTTTGAGGAGCCAGACACAGAGGGATTCCTTCAATTTCTGGCTGATGACTCTGCTGGGTTTCCAAATCCACTCTATGATTGCAGTGGTTATTTTTTTTTTTAAGTGAGTAGTTTTTTTTTGTCCAGATTTTTAAATTGGAAAGATATTCTAATATTTAATCAAATCAGATAGAAACTTTTACAGGAGAAGTCTTAAGTGGTCTAGGTCAGGGCTTTTCAACCAGTGGTACGGGTACCACCTGTGGTACATTGGCACCTGGCAGGTGGTACGCAACCTAGAAAAGTGGTAGCGGGGGAGGGGAATGAGCTGAACCGGTGGCAGCACCGCACAAGCCTGAGCGAGAGATGGCTGGAGCTGCAGGGCTGTCAGGGCTCAGCGGAAGCGCCAGGATCAGTGGAGCTCAGCCCTGATCCTGGCACTTCTGCTGAGCCCAGAAGAAGCGTCGATCAGCTGGAATGTTGCAGCATCTCCAGAGTCTTGTGATTTACATTCAGATGCTTGGCAACTGATTCATATTTATGACGGTCACAGTGTCCTAGGGTCTTGTGGAGTGACCAAAACCTGCTGCAACCACCCAGCAGACGGGGGGGAATAAAAACCAAACACCCCCCACCCTACCCCCGCTGCCAATCCTCAACAGAAATGCTCACAACAATGAAAACCTCGGACAGGAGGAAGAGCGCCACCGGGCGCTGTCTTGCTCGGCTGTGTCTTGGGGGGCACTTTTTTCAGTGCTATTGTAACTTCGAACAGTCACTAAGCGAACTGTTGTAACTCGAGGACTACCTGTACTTTATCACTTTTTTCCTTTTTTGGGTCATCAAGTTTTTGACACCTTGCTAGGCGACTGGTGGTACTCGGATATTGCCATATCCTAAAAGTGGTACAATGGGTGAAAAGGTTGAAAAGCCCTGGTCTAGATTCCTGGAACAACAGAGGGGACGAAGCACTAATAGGACTTTAAAAAGGTGAAAGACAGACAGACATAGAATCCAGGTTCTCTGGGTTACACCAGCATCAACTACAGTTAGTCCTCGACTTACAACCACAATTTCTTGCCACGTTTGTTAAGCGAATCACTGCAGTTGTTAAGTGAATCTTGCTTCCCCATTGACTTTGCTTGTCAACAGATCACAAAAGAGGATCGTGTGACCCCCCTGGACACTGGAACTGTCATAAATATGAGTCAGTTGCCAAGCGTCTAAATGTCAATCACGTGACTATGGGGATGTTGCAATGTGTGAAAAACAGTCATAAGTCACTTTTTTCAAGGCCGTTGTAACTTCGGCCACTAAACAAACTGTTGCATGTCCAAGACTTACTGTATTTCTTGGTGCAAGTTATTATAATCAACACGGCACACTTCCTCTTAATTAGGAAAAGTGTCCTAGCCTGGATGATTTGCCAGCGATTAGCTACTCTAACAGAAAGCTCTGCAATTTCATCCATTCAAGAAATATTAACCAGTTAGTGAAACTTTACTGTCACACACCAAAAATTTCTTTAGTGTTTTTCAACCTTGCTCCACGAAGTAGAAGACTTTCGGGTCCAAGGGGTCTGCAAAAGAAAGATCACTGTTTGTTCACATTGTTGGATAAAGTGAGCCAGTCCCTCTTTCTCAGCCCTGGAAAGAAGACAATGGCAAACCACTTCTGAAAATCTTGCCAAGAAATTTGAAGGAACTAGTCCAGGCAAATCGTCAGGCATCAAAAACCGACTTGAAGGCACACACACAAACACTGAGCAGGGCAGTTTGAAATAGTTTGTCAAAGATGAAATGGCTATAGGACTAACAAGAGGATCCTCTGGGACAGGGGTAGGGAACCTTGGCTCTTTTATGACTTGTGGACTTCAATACCCAGAATTCCTGAACCAGCCATGCTAACTCAGGAATTCTGGGAGTTGAAGCCCACAAATCATAAAAGAGCCAAGGTTCCTTACCCCTGCTCTAGGATAAAGAGTGAATAATTTTGTCTTTGGGAATCAAAATAGTTTTGAACTAACTACCCCTCTCTGGAATGCAGCAATTTTATTGGACCTATCAGTAAGCAACTTCCTAAAAAGGAAGAGATAAATTCATAGAATAGTGTCACTGAAACCCAATTAATTTACACATATAGTCTAGAGACACCATAAAGAGCATGTCCTGTAATGCCCATCTCATTCTACTTGTGAACTTCATGGGGGCATCAGCTGGTCATAAGACACAACAGATCCTACATGAATCCTTTTTTTCAATCCAGTAAAGCTCTTAAGGGTGTTTTTTTTTAATTCTGTTGTGCTATCAAAGAAGTATACATTGAAACTAAACAACCACAACAAAAGTTAAGTATTTTACAAGTAATTCAAAAATTCCTTTAGTATTTCAGGTCATTTGATATTGTTTGTTATTCATGCTGCTCAGCTACTGTTCGCTTTGCTGTTTTTCACCACAACTCCTTCTCCAAGGAGTTCTGGATTCATCTGAATGTGCCACTTAAGAACAACTCCCTCATGCCACAAGCAAACAGTACTTTGAATTCCCCCTTACAGAGAAGATACTTGATTTATGAAATGCTCTGTTGTTGTTGTTGTCGGAGAAACAAGGGTGATAATTTCAACTCCACCTGTTTCTCTTAAGGTTTTCTGCAAGGACTAGAACCTTGGACCAGCAATAATTCTTATAATATTTATATATATGTTTACAAAGGGTGAGTAAAGACCCTGAAGCAAATAACACTGCTGACCCAATGTTCAATTTTAAGACAAACCTGTTGGGCACCTATCTATTATGGCTTGAAATGTAATTATTAGAAGAAATAGCAAGTTTAACAGGTACATAGGGGCTGAACTGTTCTATACGAATCCAGAAAGAACTGTTACAAGAAAACTAGTTTTTACGGTTTCTTTTATATAACAGAAAAAAACAACTGGCTGTAAGAATTAGTCCAAGCTGGTCAAATTACTAACTGGCAATTCATAACATCACTCAAACCAGGAAGGAATAATAGCTTGTAACCACAAATTACAATAGCTTGCAACAGCTTGTATTCCTCACAGTTTAAGATACTTCCACTACAACTTATTATTTATGCAGTAGTAGTTCTCTAAAAGCATTCTAGCAAAAAAAAAAAAAGGTCCACAGAATAGGGCAACAAAAAACAAGGAAGCAGAAGAAGCTGCAAAGTGATCACAAAAGTAGTGTAGGAACATCTTGTCAGTGTACTTAATCTTCCCTGTGCCTGATGTATACAAAGGCTTTTTATTTCATTTTATTTACAGAAGTTGGATTGCCTGGATATAGAATTGGTCACAAATCACATTCACAGAGATTGAAGGCATTTGGCTTACCGCACTATTTCCTCAATTTGATGACTTATGGTTATACGCCCAACAAATCTGTAAAACAATATTAATGTGTCACGATTCAAGAAAGAAAAGGAAATGTTAATTTTTCAATATGCCACTAAACCCTGACCGTAACAGCATAGGAAATGAGTTAAAGAAACTGACCTGGTTTGCATGTAATGGTAAGCCCAATTCCTGGCATGCCATGATCAACAAAGCCAGGAATCTGAAGCCAAGAACAAACCAGGAAGCAACAATCAGAAATCCCAGTTCAGACATAGTGCTAAACAAACCATAGATGGAGGCTTCCTGGTTAGCTTAATTCAAAGCCACATTCTTTAACTTTCTTCCATTTAAATACAACAGTTTAACGTAGGACTTTTCCTTCCTTAGCTATAAAATAATACAGATAGTCCTTGACTTACAACCCCCAATTGAGGCCAAAATTTTTGTTGCTAAGCAAGACAGCTAAGTGAGTTTTGCCTGATTTTACAATCTTTCTTGCCACAGTTGTTAAGTGAATCACTGCAGTTGTTAAATTAGTAACACGGTTGCTAAGTGAATCTGGCTGCTCCATTGACATTACTTGTGAAGAGGTCACAAAAGGTGATCAACATGACCCCGGGACGCTGCAAATGTCATAAACATGAGCATCCAAATTTTGATCACATGATCATGGGGATGCTGCAACGGTTGTAAGTTTTTAAAATGGTAATAAGTCATTTTTTTCACTGTAACTTCGAACGGTTACATGAAAGGTTGTGAGTCGAGAACTACCTGTAACAATTTTTTCTACAGCAAATCTGCATTGTCTTGGAGAATTGCTGGCAGACCTCTCAGTGTTAGGATGACAGAGAATCAAATGTTTCATCCTGGTTTTTTTTTTACTAAGGAATGGGAAGTGAATGCTTGAACATTGGGAGAATTTTCCAAACTCAGGGAAACTCCCAAATGAAATTAACAGAGCATTCCCAGTAAGTCATGCCCTTGTTTTCCCTAAGCAACATAGGCATTTAAATTTACAACACCATCACAAGAATTTCCAGAGCAGTTTTAGCCTAATTTTTAATAGCCATAACTTTCTTTCCCAAATCCTTAAAAAAAAAAAGAGTAATAAAAAACAGAAACCTGTAAAGATCTGCTTCTGGCTGCTGGCATTCAATAACAGCTACAAGTTTGTCCAGATTGGCAACAGACTGCAACACAGCAGTTTCTGGGACTGCAATGTGTGTCTAAAAGAAAAAGAAAGAAAAAAAAGCAATGAATTGACAAGTCTCGGTTAATACTTTCGACAGATCCCCAAAGGTCCAAAGCCCTGTTTAAAAAAAACAAAAAACCTTGTGAGATCTTAAAACTGCATTCCTAATTTGCCAATAAGTTGTCAGTGTTATAGAAAATGCTGAGTTAAAACAAGCCACGATTTGGTAAACTGGTCATCTGTCAATAGGAAAACGATACATTTCTTCCATCTGGTGTTGTATTCATAAATTTCAGGACTGGCAAAATGATCTGTGAGGGTTCTTTGTTCATCCTAATGAGTGCAAGACTCCCTCACATGATGATCACCACTTCACAAATAGAAAAAAAACAAAAACCAGATCATAAATTGGATGAAGCTCTGTATTCTTGTAGAATATTTACTAAAAAGGGGAAAATAGTTGGAGAAATATTAAGGTATACGGATGCCAGTAAAAAAAAGATTGTGGGTAGTTATGTCTGTGACAAGAAATAAATAGTTGAAAATAAATAACCAATGAGAAAGAAATACATAGAGGCGGGGATTTGGTCATCTGGAAAGAATTAATGAGCATTAAATGACAGGACAAATAAAGGAAGGAAGCATGAATGTTTTAACAGGAAAGGGAAAAAAAGAAAGCTCATACTGCTGGCTATTTTGGACTGGTATATAAACCTTTCACATTCTAAATATTTTAAAATATAATGCCACGTGTTGAACTCAACATTTGTTTACTTAAGTAGAAACAGGTATTTCAAGCTCAAATATTTTAAATTTGAGACATTATGCATACCTTACTGTCTTGTTATACCAGTTCACAAAATAGGACAAAAATTGGGCAAACTAGGGGAAAATAACATAGAAAACAGAAGTATCTGTCCTTAAAGAGCTTTCTAGCATAGAGACTCTAGAAAGAGGGCAGAGAAGAGCAACAAAGATGATCAGGGGACTGGAGGCTAAAGCATATAAGGAACGGTTGCTGGAATTGGATATGTCTAGTTTAATGAAGAGAAGGACGAGGGGGGACATGATAGCAGTGTTCCAGTATCTCAGGGGCTGCCACAAAGAAGAGGGAGTCAAGCTATTCTCCAAAGTGCCTGAAGGCAGGACAAGAAGCAACAGGTGGAAACTAATCAAGGAGAGAAGCAACCTAAAACTAAGGAGAAACTTCCTGACAGTTAGAACAATTAACCAGTGGAACAACCTGCCTCCAGAAGCGGTGAATGCTCCAACGCTGGAAGTTTTTAAGAAGAGACTGGACAGCCATTTGTCCGAAATGGTATAGGGTTTCCTGCCTGAGCAGGAGGTTGGACTAGATGACCGCCAAGGTCTGTTCCAACTTTATTATTATTATTATTATTATTATTATTATTATTATTATTATTATTATTATTATTATTATTATTACTACTATTACTACTACTACTACTACTACTACTACTATTATTATTATTATTATTATTATTATTATATCCATAACTTTTTCAATTACATTTGCTAGTCCCTTGCTTATAATCAGAACTAACTACACAATACATTCCAATGAGTCATGTTAACTGTGCCTAAGAAACTCGTTCTAATATTTTTCCTTAAATTCATAAAAATGAATACAACATGGCCTTTGGCTATAAAAAAAAATCTAAAGCTTTGATATGAACTCAAAAAAAATTCAAAAAAAATTAAATACTCTTTTCTACATAAATGTAATAAAATACCCTAGCCACAATTTCAAAGAAACAAAAAAATTAATTCATGTTAAAACAGTATGAACTACAGACCTTAAGATTAGTTTCTCCATCCAAACTTGCAGTGGTAACATAGCAACAGCCATGTTCTCTATCAGAGGACAGAAGTACGAGATCAGCAGGGAAAGTTTCATCTTTGGCTACTCTCACAATGTCTCCTACCTGGGGAGACAGAAGAATGTATGGAAAAACTGATTTGCAAAATTACTGGATTAAAACAGTCCAACGAAAGCTTATTTGGTCTAATTAAATTCTTTGTAAAACTGAATACATACCTATGACTGTTTTGTTTAAACCCCACAATTACAGAAGACATTCGTTTTATGTTTCCGTGTTTCCCTGAAATTAAGACCCGGTCTTATATTTTTTTGCCTCCAAAAGAGGCACTAGGTCAGTGATGGCGAACCTTTTAGAGACCGAGTGCCTAAACTGCAACCCAAAACCCACTTATGCATCGTCGAGTGCCGGGTGGGTGTGGCCCATTGGGTGGGCGTGGCTACGGTGGTAACGGCAGACTGGATGGGACTAAAAAGTTCAATCAATCAATTCCAACTTTGCAAGATTTTTTTTTTCCCGTGAGAAGTTGAAATTGACTGATTGAACCTTTTTTTTTTGCACATAACGGTGGAGGCCTAAAGTGAAAAGGTTTTATAAAACCCAGCTGAAGGCCTAGAACTGGGGCGACGGCGCGCGTGCCCACAGAGAGGGCTCTGAGTGCCACCTCTGGCACCCGTGCCATAGGTTCACCACCACTGCACTAGGTCTTAATTTCAGAGAATATCTTACCTTAGGACCACCACAGCCAGGCCCCTCACACCCGGACACCTGTTGTGCCGCTACTTGACTTCTTCTGTGGCCGCTTGCCGCCACTTGCGACCTAACGCCATATGGTGCATTGCGCCGTTGCCGCTCCTCCCGGCAGGACGCCGCATGGTGCTTTGCACCATTTCTGCTGCTTGAGGCAGGACGCTGCGTGGCTCTTTGGGCCATTTCCACAGCAGAAATGGACCGAAGTGCCATGTGGCCTCCTGCCGCAAGCAACAGAAGCAGCCCGAAGCGCATGAGCAACGGAAGCGCCCCGAAGTGCCATGCGGCGTCCTGCCGGGAGGAGCAGCAACGGCGCAATGCGCCACATGGTGGCCAGCCACAAGTGAAGCCAAGCGGCCACAGAAGAAATCAAGTAGTGGTGCGACAGATGTCTGGGTGTGGGAGGCCTGGTTGTGGTGGTCCTACCGGTAAGGAAAGCGGGTGCGGGGTGCACGTGGGGCAGCTTCAACCCCCTACCCCTGCCCTAGCTTGATTTTTAGGGGTGCGCCTCGCCCCCAAACTAGGGCTTAGTTTTGGAGTAGGAGCTTATATTAGGCCCACCCCCAAATATCAAGGTAGAGCTTACTATTGGGCTGGGTCTAACTTTCGGGGAAACACGGTAGTAAGACACATACCCGAATGTTCTTTGATCTTGTTTTTACAAGGCCACCACTACGAACAACATACACTGGAGCTCCATTCACTTCATTGTCTGCTTTGTGCCGTAACCAATCTTCATAACCCTGAAAAAAAAAAAAAAGCAAAGGAAGTCACTAATATATATTGCCTGCTACTTGGCTGCCATCTCAAATTTTATCAGAGGACCAAACTAGAGCCTCAAAAAATGGAAACGATATTTTTCCATTTTTCCCAAATGGAAATGCTCAATATTCCTTAATGGCCCATACTAATTAAAACTACAACTCTGATCAGCTCCCAAAACTTGGAAGGGATCAAGTTGGAAGAGATGGAGCCAAGCCAAAGCAGACAATCTTCTTCTAACATGATATTCCTGCCACTTTAAGTGAGGGAGATGACAACATATATCTCTCTTTTTAAAACATATATAGTAGGAGTGATAAATTCAAGCAAGTGTGCTAATGGCAATTGTGCTGTCTGATTGTGGTTATGTTACAGAAGAGTTTCTAAAATAGATATAGGTTGCCTGAGAAGTCCTGCATGTATACTTCAAGAAAAGAGGAAAAAAGTGCAATTGCATGGTCATTCCTACTCAGATGGGAGTTGGGATGTATATAGATGTAATAAAATATCATTGGTTGCATAGTCAGCCATATGTTTAGACTGGATATGGCATTTCTGTTCACCTATTAAGTCCTTCCCAAGGACCTGGAACCAGCAGATATTGTTTGATGATGAAAGGTACTGTTGCAGGATGTAAGCTGTTTCAAAGTAAAGTTGCCTTTTGCAATTGACTGATAATGATTTTGTCAATGCTGATGGTGTTCAAGCGTTGCTCCAGACATTTTGGAATTGTATTCAAGGTACATACTGCTATTGGTACTATGTTTGCTTTCTTTTGCCACAGTTTCTATTTACAGGTCATTATATTTTATGATTTTCTCCAGTTGTTTTTTTCCCCCTATTCTGCTGCCTTCAAGTCTTGTAATGTTTAGTATCCAGACTTTTTTGTCTTTCTTATCAACAATTATTAAAAGTCTGGGGTACTGTGTGGCAGATGCTTGTCCATTTGAATTCTTAAGTCCCAGAGGACTTTATTTTCTATTACTTTGTCTCTTTTGTGGTCCCACCCGTTCTTGCTAAGTAATAGAAAATAAAGAACTGAACAGACAAACATCTGCCACTCAACATATTAATTAAGGTTGGTCACACAGTCAGCCAGATGTTTAGACTGGATTTAGCATTTTTGTCTACCTATTAGTCCTTCCCAAGGTCATGTTTGTAGAAAGTTATGTTTATACAGAACACAGTCTTGACAAAAACAACAATACAAAATTTCATCAACTATAAAGAATGATAGGTAAAACTGAATGCTGGATGAAGGTAATTTCATTTAAAGCACAGTGGAAGTTCTATAGTAAATAAGAGCCAGCCTGTGCTGCTTCAATGTATTATGCAGAGTAATTTTGAATTGTTGTTCTTTAAACAAATAAATAAATGAATAAGTCTTTTCTATCCACAGGTATTACGGAAGCACTGGGGGAAAATCAGGACCCATCAATTTCCAGGAGCCAGAATACTGGCTCTAGAAACAAGTGAATAATGCAACATCTCTCATTGTGTAAATCAATTTTAGAAGAGTTCTTTGCAAAATCTCATTCCTTTAAGACAGCAGGAAAAAAGGGTATATATACTGTACTACAAATTGAGATACAAAACTCCACCACAACTATTATGTGTCATTACTATCCACTGAAGGCTTTTCTTGTGAATCACGAAAACATGTCAGCTATATAAAAGCAATCCCAGGCAAAAACATGTTTTGTGCTTTAATGCCTAGCACCAAAATATATTTTCTTATTTCAACTGATGCTCAAACCCTTACAGAATACTGTTACTGTCATGGTTCTGACAGATGAACCTCTTCAAAAGAACTTTGAGGCATTGTTTACTTAAAAGAATCTTTTATTCGAGAAACAAAGTATCGGCACTACATAGTCGAAACAAAAAACTAAATTCCCCTCCCCTGGATACAAAGTAACAAAGCACAATTCCCTCCTCCAATAAACTGTCATAAATCACATTCCCCAATTAGCTTGAAGCGCAGGCTTTCTCCCCAGCTCTCCAGCATGCCAAAACTCTGTCAATTCTGGGCCCAATGACCTTGGATTCCCATGGCTGAGTTATTACTGTTATGACTAGCTGGACTCTCATCCACATTCCCCCTCCCAGCATCAACTAACTCTAAAAGCAATAGAGAAAAATGGCTGCATTTCCATCTGTTGTCAAAGCAAGAACAACCGATGTTAGCAGTGTTGACAGTTACATTTCAATGCAAGGAAGTGCAAAAAAAATATAGAATAGCAATGATTTAAGATACAAGGTATCTTTAGGGACAAAATAATTTAAGTTACCTCCTTCATATCACAGTTGGACCAAAAAGGTAAAAGGTCCACCCAGTATCTATACAATTCTTCCCTCATTAATGTATAAATATTCATGTTTAAAATGCAGAACGGTCGCATCAAACATTATTCTGTACAAAAAGATCCCACTAAAAACACGTTCTCCTTTTTTCTGTTCAATATTTCAGATTGCATATTTAGTGTTTTGGAACCATGCCTTGCTTTTGCTGGCTTGGCTTCTGAAGAAATACACCATGTGCTGATATCGCTAAACACATTAGCACATTGTGAGCTAACACTGATGGCCTACTGATAATTGTATTGTATTGAACATAATGTGTATGTTCTGTGCTAAGCAACTTACCACCAAAAAAGGCACATTTTCTTACCTGCTTTATGGCCGTCACAGTTATAACAAAAAACAATGGCAATCCACTAGTAATTGGACTAGTAGGAGTATCTATCATAAGCTGGAAGAGAAAAAAGACAGAAATAAATATGCATATGAGTCAAATTTTGGAAAGTCTATGTTTACATTTGTAGATTTAGAAAACTGTAAATAGTGGTTTGTTGTTGCTACTATAACACTGCACACTGAATATACTACAATATTTTATTACTCTTTGGAAATGGTTTGCAGCTTCCAAAAATTACCAAAGCCAGCCTAATGTTAGTGGATAGATTTTTGATGTTATTTATATTTTATGGCGTAACAGAATACAGCATTAACCACTTTTTTTTTATTTTCGATATTCATGCTGCTGCTTCTTGCTGGGAGATCCTCGTGAGGTAATGTGTATTGGCTGTCATTTGATGTGAAAAGGCCTGTTGCTGATTACATAGAGGGAGTCCTCAACTTACGGCCATACCTGAGCCTGGAATTATGACTGTAAATCATGCCGTTCGTTAAGTGGGTCACCACATGACTGTTTTTGTAAGTCATTAAGTGAACCCACTTCAGCTGGAAATTGGAATTAAATACTGATATCTAGCAATACATATAAACCACGATCACATGGCACTGCAAACCGTCCTAACTGGGGGCTGGTTGCCAAGCACCCAAAATGCAATCACATGACCTCAGTCTGTGTGTGTGTGTAGCCACTAGTCATAAGTACCTTTTGGGGGGTCCGTTATAACTTCAATGGTTGCTAAGACACCAGTCATAAGTTAAGGACTACCTACAAAGTACTTTAATGGCATTTGGAAAGCAGCCAAATTCTCAATGATTTTAAAATGCCCGAAAACTGAAAATGAACTTGGCAAAATTTCCCTTCTATACTTGCCAGATTAAAAGATGCTTGTGGGCAATCACACCAATGTGTTGTTCATAATTAAAAATACAGACTGTGCTAAGAATTGTTGCAGGATAGCACGTGGTGGAAGTTCAGCTGCAAGACCTTGGTTAAACACCCAGTGTGAACGCAGCATTCCACTCAAAGTAGAAATGGAAGAAGATTGCGGACACTGTGACAAAACACAGACCTCTTTCATATAACCAGGTCTGGAAGGACCTTTGAAAGCTCAGAAGTAATGAGCTTTTCCTTCTCAGTATAAACAGGATAGGGATTTTGAAGGGGATGTGTGCATTATATTGTGGTGCTGTGTCAGCTGAGGCAAAAGAAGGAAAAAAAAACCTCACGCCGCTCTGTTTCTATTATTTGCCTGCTGTCAAATGTAAAGCCCCTTCCTGTAGGGAACACAGCATGAATTCAAGAAAAAACAAGTAAATATAATTACAGAGAATTAAGCTAGTATCAGTCTAAGAGATTTACTTCCTACCAAGGATAATTGACCGTGCATGCTATAAAGCCAAAACCGTAATTTTCTGCAAAAAAATTAAGATCCTTTCGTTAACCAAATAAATGCAAGATTAAATAAATAAATAAATAAATAAATAAAGTTACATAATTTTAAAAAAATAGGTATGTACCCACTTTTGGGGAAGACAGATATGTAAAATAAGAATTGAGTGGCTCTGTCCTTTTTAATGACCTGTATTATTTGTTTGTTTCACTGCTTTTTCTTTTTCATCTGAAGGTGGCCTTGTTGCTCTTACCATGTTTTGTCAACTTCAGTTCGCTCTGACTTCAGTGTTTCTGAAATAATCTCTACTATTTCCAGAGATCACTTCTCTTATGGCCTGATCCTCTTCCCAGATCTTATGTGTTCACTGTTTGTTTTCAGGTAGTCATTTACCATCACGTACAGCTATACTGACATTTTCTGATTTCCATTTGTATTTCCTCAATGGAAATGTTCACGGTTGTGCTTTTGCCATTATCCTTTCTATGACCTTCCCTCTATCATAAGCATCTTTTCCCATCAGGATCTCCTGCCATGAAATCCTACCTGTCGAATAGGAAGCCATCTTTTCAAGCTCCCGACATCTGACTATAGTTTTAGCTTTCTTTAAAGTCAAGAATTTGAGCCTGCTAAATCGATTTTTCTCAATGTTCCTGCTATTTAAACTCTACTGGTGATTAACAAGAATAATCGATCATATTACTGTCCTTAGTTATATACTTCAAGAAGACCCTGGAACGACATATTAAACAGAATAGTCTCTCTACAGGGATGGTAGCTATTCCTCTTAGTAATTGTTTTTTTTAAAAAATAATGAAATATGCTTATGCCTAAGCACTGTACAAGCAAATCAATAAACATCACTGATAGGTGTCACTAAGTCCCTCTCCACTAGTACTTCATTCCTCTTGAACAATCTTCCATTTGCTTTTTGGAAATAATGATCCACAATTGCTCCATGGATGAGTACTTGCAAATATAAAGAGCAGTATGGTTTGTGTTCATTCATTCACTTATTTAAACCAGGATGCTTTCTATGGTAGGAAGACTAGCACTCGGAAGAACAACCAAGGAAGTCTTGGAAAAGGTATTCAGGTGCTTGAGATGTGGCAGAACTATGATCAGAATTGTATACAGGCAATGGCATTTCCTGTGACATTCTATGGAAGTGAAAGTATGAACATTGATGTTGGAAAAAATCCTTTGAGAATACCATGTATAACCAAAGAAACAAATAGGTAACAAATAAATAAAGAAACAAATAAATCAACCCAGAGTTCTCACTCAAGACACAACTGATCAGGCTCAAATGATCACACTCAGAACACATTTTGTGAAAGATCTAGCTACAATGCTGGAAAAGGTAGAAGGAAAGAGAGGAACAGGAATACCAAAGTGGAATTACAGTGGCAACAGGCACTCTGTTGGAAGACCTAAAAGACCAGGTTAGGGATAGTTTGTCACGGAGAACATTTATCCATGTTGCTAAGAAATGACATTGACCTAATGGCACATAATCAATCAATGCTGTTTACTTTATGAACTAATCCACAGGATACAAATACTGATGACACAATAAAGAAATGCTATTTGTCAACAGAAAGAGGAAACAATACAGAAAGCGTAGCAAATTGTGTTGGAATCAAAGAGGAGTACTTTAAGGTGTTAAAGGGCAACAGATCTTCATTTTTGAATAAGGCCATCTATTCATTATCTGTTGAAGGGTTATTTATGAAATATTGGCTATGATGGCTGCACAGCTAATAGTAGATTGTTCTTTGTTTCTTAAAATTTGAGAAATGTTTCTCTTCTAAAAACAATACAAGTAATTTCACTCTGATTTCATTGAAGGAAAAGAGAGGTATAGTGAAATACAGAAATTGTAAACCATTTCATGACTAAATGCCTAGCATTAGTGTCCTGTCACTATTGTTTTGCTCACAAAACAAATGTTTCAAATTAAATGGCTTTTCTGAATTTATTTCACAGCATAAATGTGAACAGTTCAAATATAGGCCAGCCAAAATACTGATGAAGCTGGGTGTAAAAAAAACACCCCAAATTAAAACACATACTAGCCTTACTGATTGAGCTTAGTACTTAACAGTTAACACTTAAACAAACCTTAACCCATGGAACTTTTTTCTGCTAAATTTAGAATCCTTTCTATTAAAGTTTTTAGACAAAAGAAGCTTTAGCACAACTTGTGAAAGCGTAAGTACAAGTTGAGAAGAAAAACTTGGCAAAAATGAGTAACGACTATTTTTTGATTACATCGTCATATGTATGGAAACACTGAATAATGAAAGGGGAGGGGAAGCATGCTTTACATGAGCAGGTGGGATTTTTAACAGTTTTATTGAAACAGCCACAACCTGGATTTCATTGCAACTTAGGTCTGAGGCAGCATTTGCAAAAGATATAAAATGTAAGACATAAATGGAATCTAACACTACAGTGGCTTGTGAAATAGAGTACAGACTATATACAGGATACACAAAACACATCTGAGGAATACATTGTTCAGTCCATTCCTCACAACAATGTTTTGCATCACATTTAAAAAGAGTTGAGAACTGCAATCTTGTCACATGCAGAGAGAATTAAGACAGATATTCCCCTGAATAGCGTAATTTCATATTTCTAGGGGGATTTTTTGAGAGCCTGTTCTTTCTTCCATCCTGTTAGCTTTGGACAACAATCAAGTCCATGAGTCAACCCTATGTATTCCACTTGTTGTTACAATGCTATTGATTATGTACCATCAAGGCACATAGATTTTTTTTTTACAATGCTATTACAACATTTTAAATAACTGCTAAATCTTATGATGGACCTGACAGCAAAAATCAATATAATCTCAACAGCACAAGCCCCAAATAATAGCTAAATTTCTGATTATAGTACTAACCAGGTTCCAGGTAGGATGAAGGAGGTAAATGACCATCCATCTGACGGTTTTAAATAGAAAAATAGCTTTAATGCTTAAATTCCTCCAGGAATTCACGTTCAGAGATTAAATATCAAATTAGGAAAGGTCTTTACTTGTGACTCTAGCTCAGGATTTTGACAATATTACTAATTCATATCACCATGCATTTGTTTTGCAAAACTGAAGCCAGCTAATGTTTTATCCCGATCTTTCCTCAATTTGTATTCACATGTGGGAAGGATTAAGAGAGGCTATTCAATCAAGTGAAATGCCAATTTATGGATAACCAGGTTTCAAAATATATTATATATAATAACTAAACTGCATCAACATTTTAACATCCTCCTTTTAGAGTGAAGAAAACATGTTAGTCACTAGGAATAAACCTTACGAAGCAGATCAGCTAACGTCTTATGAAACCACAGAAAAATACGGACAAACGTCCAGATAATGGCAGTGCAACATGTCACTAGATATAAATGAATTCTGAGAGTAAGCTACTAATTGTTGCAAAAGTCAATAAACTAAGCTTTATGCTTGGTTATATTCAACAAGATTTTTTTTCCAAATCCCTCATTTCAATTGCACATGTTTAAGTAGTGTTAAATTATCCAACTTACCTGAACCAAAAATATTATAAGAAAATAAAAATTGGCTACTCTTCTAAACTGCTCAAATAGATTTTTGGGCACAAAATTCCACACGGTATACTGCAAGAGAAAAAAAAAAGTAACATTTAAAAACTGCTGAAGTAATTCATTTCAGCTTTAATCATTTTTTAAGAATTGTACATTCTGCATTCAAAATTCCACAAATGTTAACAAGCCCTCTCTTAGAACATTCATATCAGCCAGCTAAGTTCCATGTTTACCTTTATGCGTTAAATTTGCAACAAAATACTGAAATTTATAAAGAAAATGAATTAACCGACATCTGATATTGGGTTTTCTAGCATCTAAGCTTCATTTTGATTACAATATAGGTTATCCTCAACTTACAACCATAACTGAGTCCAAAACTGCTAAGCAAGGCAGTTGTTAAGAGAGTCATACCCCATTTTACCATTTTCGCCATGGTTAAATAAATCACTATAGTTAAGTGAATCATGCAGTCATGAGAACCTGGCTTCCCCCACTGACTTTGTTTGTCAGACACTCCCTAGGAAGGTTGCAGATGACAATCCAAGAACCCCAGAATGCTGCAACCATTGTAAATCCATGCTGGTCGCAAAGCACCTCAAGTTTGATCCCATGACTATGGGGATGCTGCAGCGGTCATAAGTGGTTTATAAGTCACTTTTTTCAGTGCCATTGTTAACTTTAAATAGTCATTAAACGAATGGCCAACCTGTAAAGTGAATTGTCTATGAAGCTGCTTACCATAAATGCACTGCAACTGCCTCCACCACAAGCACAACTAGGTGTGGAATATTGGTTGATGCCATGCAACCACTTCTATCAATGACTGCAGTCACAGCTCTCCCATTTGCAGTCATGAAGCGGAGCATTGGAGAGGGAGAGTCCTGCCCTCCCAGGTGTGGTGGGCTGGAGAGAATGCCTGCCTGGGCCTCCCACTACACCCAGCTTGTCCCGAGCCTTCTCCTGCAGGTGGAATGTGGACCGGGGGTTGGGGACCCCTGCCCTAATCCTATTCAGATACACATCTGAGAGTTGTTGTTTTTTTTTAAAAAAAAATCTGATGTATCTAACTAAAATTTATCTTTAACTATAGCACTCTACCAAGCATACGTGTAGATGTTAAAATTTCCCATACCTTAGAGGAGATTATTCTGTTTTCTGCAAACTTCTGAGGAACATAATGGCCATGCTGGGGAAAACGATTTGCAATATAAATAGTTCGATTATCACTCTGATGTGGTGGGTCAAAACCCTGAAAAAAAAACCCCAAGAACATTATATTATTGATAGCCGTATCTCAATATTTATAATACATTTTAAACCGTCTTGATATTCTTCACAATAATTCTGAGAAATAATGTCTCCTTATTCAGAATACATATTCTTGGTGAAACACAGACGAAAAACAAATACAATACCTAAAAAGAAACAAAAAGTAATATTTATTTGTAACTTGCCTTTATTATTGTTAGAAATAATCTAAGGTGGTGAATATAATGCAACCCACCTTCCTTCTCCTATTTTCCCCATAACAACAGCAACCCTGTGAGGTGGGTTGAGCTGAGAGAGTAACTGGATATTTTTTGTTCTCTTGTTTTCTAGCCTGGTGCCTTAACCACTAGACCAGGGGTAGGCAACCTTGGCTCTTTTATGACTCGTGGACGTCAACTCCCAGAATTCCTGAGCCAGCTTGGCTGGCTCAGGAATTCTGGGATTTGAAAATTGCCTACTAGATTCTCAGGAAAACAAAGGCTCCCTCTGAACCCCACTGGGAGCACTGGTCACCTGGAGTGGACTGATCAAATTGACACTACATCCTTGCAAGGGAAAGCAGAGGCAGCACCGGCATACTGAAAAGCAACCATAACATTTTATGATTCGGACTGAGGTTACTGTCCTCAACTTCATATCATGTTGAAAATGGCCTGAGAGAAAAACCAGGGTGTGACAACCCATTGGGGTTTCAATAACTTGGGTCAACCAAGTGGTGGCCAGAAGAAACTCCTGAGCCACTCCAGAGTCTATGCCACATGAAGGCAAGTTAAAATCTCCGAGAGCTGCTGTATCTTAAGATTGCATTGCAAGTGCAGTAACTGAGACAAGTAGCCTCTTTAGGAAAATTGGTGTAACAGCTAAAAATCCAAATGGCCTCTAGAATCCAACGTCACCATAGATCAGACATGTCAAACACAAGGCCCGAGGGCCGGATGCGGCCCGCGAAGTGGTTTCATGTGGCCCGCGAAGCCATCCTGGAAACAGTGAGGGAATGGCCCCCACTGCCTTGGCCCTGGCCCAGGCCGGCCAGGAACCAATGTACAATTTTGTGGTGGCCATCTATGCTGAAACGCATTCAGTCTTAGCTCCACAAGGCCGTCTGGAAACAGCGAGGAACCAGCCCCTGCCGCGTCAGCCCCCGCCCCGTGGGTGCATGCTGGGGAGGTGTCACCCTTTGTGAGGAATGAAGAAATGCACCATCGCCTGGAAGTGGCCAGTAAATGGCCCTCACCTACTTCACATATCCGGCTCGATAGGCTCTGGCGGAGGGGTTTCAGCAGGCAGTGAGGCTCCTCCAGTGGACCATGCCTTGGCGCTTGCCCCGGTCCCACCCCTTTCTGCCAGAGACCCTCAGATCTGTCCCAATCCTGCCCAGGCCCCCACAGGCACTCTTGATGCGAACGATATAGAGCTGGCCACGGCCACCCAATAGGCCACACCCACTCTATCCACATCCACCTAGTAGGCCACCCCCCCGAGGGCAACCGCAATGCTGATGCGGCCCTCAATGAAATTGAGTTTGACACCCCTGCCACAGATGGCCCAACATCGGCAATGCAGAACCTTAGCCTTACATCTGCTCTAAAACTGTGACTGGTGACAAACTAAAAACCCAGTAAATATTTGTAAAGTTGGGATTTTGTAAATAACTACAGACTACTACACTGTAGCTTGGATGAAAACTTTACACATCACTTTATTATATCCTCACACACTCTCTCCAATGTAAAGCTTTGGCCTTGGCTGAGCAGGGCTAACTCTTTCCTCCTGGTCCTTACGAGTTGGCTTAGCCACATATAAACAAGTCTTTGGAGAGCAATCCTTACTGTTCTTGAAGTGACATACAGTCCTCGTCTCCATCCAAAAATCCTTGCACTCATTGGATATGCTGCCTCAGCGTGGCGACACTTTTTTGTAAATACAGTTGCATAGCAAACTCGCTGCCAAGTTCCTGGCTAGGTTTCAAGGTCTGCTCTAAGAAATGTTGCTGCTGAGCACTCAAGCTGAGCTCCAGGCAGAGAGATCAAGCAAGGTTGACTGCTTCCCCTGGTCCTGGTCCTGGTCCTGGCAGTTGGATAGCAGCCCTACTTATAACCTGTAGCTGTTGCCCAGATGTCACTTCCCATTTCCTCATCTCTGTCATGCATCTTCCTCTTCTTCTGCTCGTCGCGTACTCTCTGGGTTGATTCCCCTTTTCTAGGCTGAAGGCCTGAGAGGAGTAAGGTGTGCTAACCTGGCTACCTACGGGCATCACCAGGTCAGTGTCACTCAATTAGCCAGCTGTGGAGGCTGTTATGCCAGTCAAAGAGCTTGGTGTGGACAACTGACCAGCTGAAATATCATTGTGGGAGTCTGTAGGGGAAAATCTCTGCTGGTCAGTCTGCCTCGCTAAGCAGGCTGGAGGGGAGGGGTAGATTAAGTGCTTCTCCCTCAGGTTTCCTGGTAGAGCCAGAACCTCATAACTATTCTGATATGGAGGGGTGAGCTGAAAGTAGCCTCGGAATGGGGTGGCTGTTTCTGCCTGGCAGAGTTACTCCAATCAGTATTTTCCAAAGTGCAGCTACGCTCCTTTTTTCCTCCTAGCATATCTCAGAGGCGGGAACACACACATCTGAGGTTATCCAGATCTCGGACGAGGAGAGCCTTGCTATGGAACCCCTTGGCATTTAATAGCAGGGGATACTTGGTGGAAGTGCTGGGTGGAAGATAAGGTATGTTGTTGTTATTAGGTGAAACTAGCCCCTGGCAAACAACTCATCTCGAAACAAAAGTGCTGGTTCCCCCCCTCAAAGCTCACGAAAGGCAGGAACCATGGGAAATGGTCCAGGTGGTGTGTGATAAAAGTGAAGCTAAACGGAAGGAGGAAAATGCATGTATAAAATTGAAATTTGCAACTGGAGTGATGTCTAATACAGAGTACATAAAAGGAACTAAAAACAGGACTTTCAGATCTCTTGCTCAAATCTGACGCTTCTGGGAAAACACCACCAAGCCGCTAACACCATAGAATTTCCGGTGTGTGCTTTTCAAAACAACTTTTAGTATCTGATAGTATAAGGGAGGAAAAAATTGTCCAAAAAGATGATCTCTCTTCCTCTTGCTTGCTTTTGTCAATGTACTGTACATAAAGACCAAACTATTCTTTCCCCTTACAGTGCACAGTAAAGATGAAACTGTGACCAACTGGCTCTGGATCTTCTATTGCTAGGACCCCCGACCCCCAACAACATGGACAGGGTAGCCAATGTAACTGTAAATATCTCACTTGGTGTTTCCCAAGCTCTCTGCCCCATCTGAATCTACAAAAAGAAATAAAATGGGAAACTGTCATCTAGTGACAACTGAAGGGCCAAAGTGAAGTCCAATGACGGTTCTTTACATCAAGCAGCTCTTATAAACTTTCCTAAAAAATAAAAACAATTGTAGTGATTGTAGAGTGACAAAGAGGGATGGCGGGTAGCATTAAGATAAATCGGTACTGTACTTTATAATCAGTGTTTATTTATTTATAAAGTAAATTTCTATGGCTTCCTCTTCCTACCATAGCCTGAGTTGCGCTCAAAATAATGAAAAAAACAAAAAACCACAGCAACTTCCAGTGCCCCAAAAGCAACACTCAAACACAAATCAGCATTCCACTTTACAAGGCCCCAGATTCACTCTAGCCCAGCACGTAGGCTTTATTTTTGGTTAACAACCAAAACTTAAAGACGCTGACTGCAGTCCAAGTTCTCCCATTCCTCAAGTTCTCCAATGGAAGAACTGGATTTGGCAGAGAAACACACTCCAAACAGCCAAAAGATAAAGTTATATAGTCTTTTCGCTTTATCCTATGCTTCAGGATCTCATGATTTCCAACTTTCTTATAATGTAGAGCCAAATATCAAAATAACGCCACTCATCTGACCAAGAGTTCACTGCTTGTGCAGCCTTGTGCAACATAACTCATATAAAACTCAGACAACGTTATGTCCCTATGATTTTACAGGCCTTTTCCAATCAATAACTCTTGATTGTTTCACCAGTAATAGTGTTAGCCCTAAAAAGCACCAATGGAGGCTGAAGCACATTTCTCCCTATCCAGCAAATGTACTTGTTTAGCAAGAGAATCAGTGGATGGACTGCCAGCAGCCCCACTTCCCAAAGTCTGTTGCCCATACATTTGCACAAAGCTAAAAGTAATATCTAGGGATTTATAGGCAGTAATACTAAAGAAGCTGCTTTTTCCTCCAGAGGTTGGAAACAGCAGTGAAAGTCTAGCTGAAGTGAAAGTGGGAAGAAGGATCAAATTCTCCTCTTTCCAAACCCTGCATATTTCCCCAATGTGATTGATGATGCTTTCTGGAGAATTAAGCCCTCACTGTCTTCTGTATAATCTGATCCAATGACATCCAAATTACAATTAGAGTAGATTTCTCCAACTGGGTAAAAGCCAAGAACACACAGACATTGATAAAAGCAGAAGTCTGCACTCGTGCCATTGACTCCAACCTTCCCCTAAGTGCTGGAATCTAAATTAACACATTAATTACAAATTAATTACAAGCTCATTTGGCACTCTACTTGGTTAAGGAGCTGCTGCTGTGTTGCAGGGTGAATGAAACAAGTGAAAGTTTCCTTAGATTTAATACAGTTAGATGCAGAATATTTAGGATCCAGTGCTGAACAGCACAGACTGTAATAACTTCTTTAAACTTTTTGTAACTCAGTAATGAATAAACTGACTATATAACAAAGCAGGAATGGCTCCTCTTATCCTATTTTAGACACATTATGCAAAGACCCAACTCTTTGGAAAAGGCTCTAATGCTGGGAAAGGTACAAGAAAAGAGAAGATGATAACCAGCAGCAAGGCAGATGAATTCACTTTAGAGTAGCAATCAGTGCACTGTTGGGAGATTTGAAAAAAAACAACAGGTTAGGGATACAGATAGTCCTCAACTTACAGCCACAATTAGGACCAGAATTTTGGGGCTA